TCCAGGTATGTGAGCGCTCCTGAGGCTGTTTGGAGACTTTTTGCAATGCGAATGCATGACCAATCTCATGCAATCACAAGATTAGCTATTCATTTGCCAAATGAACAAAATTTGTATTTTCATACTGATGATTTTGCTGAAGTTTTAGATAGGGCTAAAAGGCATAACTCAACTTTGATGGCTTGGTTCTTATTGAATAGAGAAGATTTTGAAGCACATAATTATTATTATTGGGAGATTCCACAGCATTATGTATTTACTAATTCTTTGTGGACAAAACGCCGAAAGGGTGGGAATAAAGTATTAGGTAGACTGTTCACTGTGAGCTTTAGAGAACCAGAATGGTATTACCTTAGACTTTTGCTTCTGCATGTAAAAGGTGCAATAAGTTTTGATGATCTGCAAACTGTAGGAGATGTAACTTATGATACATTTCATGAAGCTGCTAAACATTGAGGATTATTAATTGACGACACTATCTGGAAAGATATGATTGATGATGCAATAATCCTAAATATGCCCAAACAACTAGGGCAACTTTTTGCATACATATGTGTGTTCGGATGTCCTTCTCATCTAGACAAATTATGGGATGAGAATAAATCTCATATTATTGAAGATTTTTGTTGGAAATTACACCAAAGAGAAGGTGCCTGTGTGAACTGTGAAATGCATGCCCTTAATGAAGTTCAAGATGTAGTCACATTGCATGGAATGAAATGTTCACATTTCAAACTTCCAGACTATTCTTTATTAATGAATACAAATACATGTGATGAATTGTACGAGCGACAACAGGCAGAAGTTTTGATAAATTATCTGAATGATGAACAGTTGGCAGCCTTTCAGACTATAACTTCAGCCATCAAAGATCAAACTGTACACCCCAAATGTTTTTCCTTGGATGGTCCAGGTGGTAGTGGAAAAACATATCTTTATAAAGTTTTAATACATTATCTTAGAGGTCATGGTGGTACTGTTTTACCCACAGCATCTGCAGGAATTACTGCAAATTTACTTCTTTGTGGAAGAACCTTTCATTCCCAATATAAATTACCGATTCCATTAGACAAAATTTCAATTTCTAGACTCGATATAAAGAGTGAAGTTGCTAAAACTATTAAAAAAGCCAAACTTCTCATTATTGATGAATGCACCATGGCATCCAGTCATGCTATAAATGCCATAGACAGGTTACTAAGAGAAATTATGAATTTGAATGTTGCATTTGGTTGGAAAGTTCCCCTTCTCGGAGGGAATTTTCAACAATGTCTCAGTATTGTGCCACATGCTATGCGATCAGCCATAGTAAAAAACAAGTTTAGCCCTAACCGGTTTGGCTCAGTGGATAGAGCGTCGGCCTGAGGACTGAAAGGTCCCAGGTTCGATTCCGGTCAAGGGCATGTACCTAGGTTGCGTGCACATCCTCAGTGGGGGGTGTGCAGGAGGTGGCTAGTCGATGTTTCTCTCTAAAAAATCAATAAAATATATTTGAAAAAAAAAACAAGTTTAAAGTACTGTAATATTTGGGGATGTTTCAAAAACTTGTCTCTTAAAACAAATGGGGGTGGGGGTAGGGGAGGCTGGGGGAAGGTCAATTGCAAAAAAAAGGTGACATATGTACTACTATTTGTAATACTTTAAACAATAAAAAAGAAAAATAAATAAATAAAGAGGCAAAAAATAAAACAAATATAAGATCAGAGGATTCTGCTTATAGTGAATGTTTAGTAAAACTTGGAGATGGCAAACTTTATAGCAGTTTTCATTTAGGAATGGATATTATTGAAATCCCCTGTGAAATAATTTGTAACTACCTTTGGAAATAGTATATCTACAGATAATATTAAAAATATATCTAAACATTCTTTGTCTAAAAAATGAGCATGTTCAAATTAAATGAAGAAATTTTAGATATACTTGATGGAGATTTTCACACATATTTGAGTGATGATTCCATTGATTCAACAGATGATGCTGAGAAGGAAAATTTTCCCATCGAATTTCTTAATAGTACTACTCCTTCGGGAATGCCGTGTCACAAATTAAAATTGAAAGTAGGTGCAATCATCATGCTACTGAGAAATCTTAATAGTAATTGGGGTCTTTGTAAAGATATTAGATTTATTATCAAAAGATTGGGAGCTAATATTATCAAAGCTGAAGTATTAACAGGATCTGCAGAGGGAGAGGTTGTTCTGATTATAAGAATTAATTTGTCCCCATCTGACACTGGCCTCCCATTTAAATTGATTTGAAGACAGTTTTCTGTGATGCCAGCATTTGTGATAACTATTAATAAATCACAAGGACAAGGACAAAGTAGGAATATTCCTACCTGAACCCATTTTTGGACATGGTCAGTTATATGTTACTTTCTCTCGAGTTTGAAGAGCGTGTGATGTTAAAGTTAAAGTTGTAAATACATCACAAGGGAAATTAGTCAAGCATTCTGACAGTGTTTTCACTCTTAATGTGGTATATAGGGAGATACTAGAATACGTTTAATCAATTTATCAGTCATTGGTTGCATCAATGTTTTTATATCATATTTTTGTTGTTTTCATATCATGTTTTTGTTGTTTTATGTCATGTCTTTGTTGTTATATCGTGTTGTTATTTTTCATAAATTTATATATTATTTTCATATACATTTTACTAATTTTCATTCATTTCTGACAATTCTATTATAGAGAACATGCAAATAGCAATATTAAAATATTTCCTCTAATTAATTCCCTTTTAATGTGCACGAATTTTGTGTACCAGGCCACTAGCAGCTAATATTTGGAAACAACCTAAATGCTCATCAGCAGATAAGTAGATTAAAAAACTGTGGTACATCTACACAATGGAATACTATGCTGCTATAAAAAAGAAGGAATTTTTACCATTTGCAACAGCATGGATGGAACTGGAGAGCATTATGCTAAGCGAAATAAGCCAGTTAGATAAAGATTAATATCACATGATCTCACTCATATCCTATATAATAAAGAGGTAATATGCAAATTGACCATCACACCCTTATAAGATGGCTGCCTACGACCAGGCCGGCAGAGAGGGGGGGGCAGTTGGGGGTGACCAGGCCAGCAGGAGGGGAAGTTTGGGGTGACCAGGCCAGTGGGGGCAGTGCAGTTGGGGGTGACCTGGCTGACAGGGGTGCAGTTGGGAGCCATTAAGCTGGCAGGGGGGCAGTGGGGGTGACCAGTCCAGCAGGGGGGCAGTTATGGGCAACCAGGCTGGCAGAGGGGGGCAGTTGTGGGTGACCAGGCAGGTAGGGGGGGGGCAGTAAGGGGTGACCAGGCTGGTGGGGGGGGCAGTTAGGAACAACCAGGCCAGCAGGCAGGTGAGTGATTAGGAGCCAGCAGTCCAGGATTGTGAGAGGAATGTCTGACTGCCAGTTTAGGCCTGATCCCCGGGATAGGACCTAAACCGGCAGTTGGATATCCCCCAAGGGGTCCTAGATTGGAGAGGGTGTGGGCTGGGCTGAGGGGACCCCCCCCACACACACACACACTGTGTGCTAATTTTGTGCACTGGACCTCTAGTGTGGGATATAATGATCAACATAATTTGATGAATAAGAATAGATCCCGAGAAAAATGGTAGGGGAGGGGCGAGGTTAGAGAGAAGCCAAAGGACTTGTATGCATGTATATTAGTGTAACCAGTGGACACAGACACTGGGGCAGTGGGGTCTTGTCCGGGGTGGAAATATCTTGGGGATGGGGAAATCAAGCAGAGAAAAAGGAGACATTTGTAAAACTTTAGACAATAAATAAATTTAAAAAAATTCACCTCAAACTTAATGGTTTAAATACATGACAATATTTTATCTCTCAACTAGAGGATTAGGCCTAACCTGGCAGCCAGACATCCCTCTCACAATCCTGGACTGCTGGCTCCTAATCGCTCACCTGCCTGCCTGTCTGGTCACCTCTTACTGCACCTCCTCCTCCCTCTCCCCGCTGGCCTGGTCGCCCCCAACTTCCCCCCATGATGGCCTGGTCATTCCCAAATGCCCACCCTGCTGGCCTGGTTGCCCCATGCACCCTGCTTGTTCAGTCATTTGGTCATCCCTCACTAACCCCCTTGTCGGCCTAGTTGTCGGCAGCCATCTTGTGATGGTGAGGGTTAATTTGCGTATTACCTCTTTATTATATAGGATTCTTGTGGATCAGGAATTCAAGAATAGCTTACCTCAGAAGTGCTTACATGGGGTCTTTCATGAAGCTGCAGTCTGACAGTTATTTTGGTTGGAGTCATCTCAAAAGCTACTGTACTCACATGTCTGTTTCCTGAGGTAGAACTAAACCTTAAATAATTGTTATTACAGCTGGAGAGAGAGAGGGAGAAACATCAATTTGTTGCCTCCCACACAGGCCCTGACTGGGGCTATGGATCAAACCTGCAATCCAGGTACATGCCTTTGACTAGGATTCACACCTGAGATCTTCTGATGCACCAGCTGACATTCTAAACACTGAGCACCATGGGACAAGGTGGTGAAATTTTGTTTTTATAATAAATTAAGAAATATTGATTCATGTTGTTTTCATGCAATATAGTCGTTAATTTTTGAAATTATACAGTACTCAGTAATTATTTGGAGTTATTTTCTTTTACTCTACTTCCTGGAAGAGCTTGCATAGATTATTATTTTTTAATGTTTTTTAATTAATTAATTAATTTATTCATTTTTATATATTTTTATTGATTTCAGAGAGGAAAGGAGAATGAGAGAGAGATAGAAACATCAATGATAGGAGAGAATCATTGGTCGGCTGCCTCCTGCACACCACACACTGGGGATCGAGCCCACAACCCGGGCATGTGTCCTTGGCCAGAATGGAACCTGGGACCCATTAATCCACAGGCTGATGCTCTATCCACTGAGCAAAACTGTCTAGGGCTATTTTTTAAATGTTTGAGAGAAATTAATTAACTAGGAAGACATTGGGCCCAGAGTTTCTTCATTTTATTTATAGAGTTATTCTATTTTTTTTTAAAGAAAGAACTCTGGTTTTTAATAGTTTTGATCATTAAAAAAGTTTAAACCTGCATAGCAATCATTTCAAAAATAATTATTTAATGTTCCATAATTAAACTGTACACAACCTAGTCTTGGGACATGGCAGCCAGTGAGGTGAGTTTGGAGCAGTCCCGTGCAGTCCCAGGAGCCAGAAGTCGAGTTCTCATTGGCCTTTTTTGTTTGTTTTTGTGTCATTCTGTTCATGTAAGTTTATTTGGCTACTTGGCACAATCTGGCCCCGTGGCTGAGTGGATCTGCACTGGGAAGAGAGAGCAGCTTGACCCCAGTCCCTTCTCGCTTCCCCTCCCCCACTTGGCTGGATTCCTCAAAGTCGCTCAATGTCTCGGTATTTCTTCCTCAGAATAGAGACCTGGTCTTTAAAGAGGACGGGGTCGAGCCTCATCTGAGAGTGGATCAGCGGCATGTAGCCAAACCAGCTGGCAAACGTATTCATGCAGCTCTGTCGCTGGGCAAAGTGGTCAGGGTCAGCCCAGCGGGAAGCCTGAGAAGTCTGTCCCATCATTGTCTCCTTATACTGCTTCTTCTGGGTCACTTTGATTGGAGGCAATTTTGTCACAGCAGACACCAGGAAATTCATAAGAATGTCCTCACAGTTGGCCAGCTGGTCCACCATGTTCTTCAGGCTGGCTGGCAGATAATGGGTGTACAGGTAGTGATAATATTTGTGATAAATAGCAGCTCCAGTCAACACCATGGAGTAGTCATTTGTCCACTTGGACGTGTACCCCCACCGCTCCTTAGAGTTATCCCAGAAGTGGCTACGCGCTGGGTACCCCACAATTCTCTCGGGGAAGCTCTGCCAAACGGTGAAGGCAAAATCCACCTCTGTGGTGGAGAGCACGGTGTCCTCGTCCAGGCTGAGCACTGCATCGGTGACGATGTTGTCATAGGGCAGGAAACGGCTGCTCATGACCTTGCTTTCTCCTTCAATGAGGATGACAAGCATGGTAGTGGCAGGCCAGCGGTGTTTGGCTGGTAGGGGTTTGTCACAATTCCATAGAACTATGATCTGGGCACAGTACTGGGATTTGGCTGTGGCCATGAGCAGTTTCAACACTGGCTGGGACTGAGAGACCAGGGGGGTGACTGCATGGATGACTGCGGTGAATTTGGAAGGGGGCTTTAAACCTAAATTAGCATAGTAGTAAGGAAAATCTCCCAGGTAAGATGAATACTGTGGTAGGATGAACAATCCTCCAGGATGTTTGTTCTATATTAAACTGTTACGTGATATGTGCTTGAATGTTCTGTCCTGAATAATCTCTAGTGTAGTTAATACAATCTTCTCAACTGAAGAAAAATAAGCCTCCCACAAGAATTGTGTCTGCTGTCTAAGTGCTAGGATTTTATCCTGATGAATAGACCTGATTGCAGAAGGAATCTGTAATAACAATCTTTCATCGCCTATGACGGCAGCTTGGTTCCAATTAATCACTTCAGAGAACGGCAACTCCCATCCGTTGCTGAGCATCACAGGGACACAGGCAGCCTGCAGAGCCTCCAGGAAACTGAAGGATCCGAGCCTGCGACCACGAGGAACCAGACAGAAAGTGGCATTGTGCAGCATTTCCCGATAATCATACCATCCTTGGTGTCTGTAGCAAAAATTCTCATTTTATTTCTCATAGAACCTCTTCTCTGACTTCACTGAGAACCAGCACAGGGTGAGATTATCTCTATTCTAATTTTTTTTTTTCTTATTTTATTTTTTTTATTTAGTGTCTAAAGCAATGGTTCTCAAACTTCTGGCCCTTTAAATACAGTTCCTCATGTTGTGACCCAACCATAAAATTATTTTTGTTGCTACTTCATAACTGTAATGTTGCTACTGTTATAAATCATAATGTAAATATCTGATATGCAGGATGGTCTTAGGCGACCCCTGTGAAAGGGTTGTTCGACTGCCAAAGGGGTCGGGACCCACAGGTTGAGAACCACTGGTCTAGAGTTTTATATATGTCTCCTTTTTCCCTGATTGACCACCCCGACAGCCATTTCAACCCTGTGCAAGCCCCTGCTGCCCCAGTGTCTGCGTCCATTGGTTATGCTAACATGCATGCATATGAGTCCTTTCGATGCTCTCCATCTAACCTCCCTCCTCCCCTGCCATTTCTCTCTGGATTTATTCTTGTTCATTGAATTATGTTGATCATTATATCCCACATATGAGTGAGATCATGTGATATTGATCTTTCTCTGACTATTTTATTTCACTTAGCATAATGCTCTCCAGTTTCATCCATGCTGTGGCAAATGATAAAAGTTCCTTATTTTTTATAGGGTCATAGTATTCCATTGTGTAGATGTACCACAGTTTTTTAATCCACTCATCTGTTGATGGGCACTTAGGCTGTTTCCAAATATTAGTTATTGTAAATTGTGCTGCTATGAACATAGGGGTGGTGTTCCTGGCTGGTGCATCCGGTTTCTCGGGATATATTCTTAGAAGTGGGATTACTGGGTAAAATGGGAGTTCCATAGTGGCTGCACCAGTCTGCATTCCCACCAGCTGTGCACAAGGGTTCCTTCTTCTCCACATCCTGGCCAGCACTTGTCCTTTGTTGATTTGTTGATGATAGCCACTCTGACAGATATGAGATGGTATCTCATTGATTTTTTTATTTGCATCTCTCAGATAATTAGTGAATTTGAGCATGTTTTATATGTCTATCAGCCTTCTGTATGTCCTCTTTCGAAAAGTGTCTATTTAGATCCTTTGCCCATTTTTTGATTGGTTTGTTTATCTTCCTTTTGTTAAGTTGTATGAGTTCTCTGTAAATTTTGGAGATTAAACCCTTATCTGAAATATCATTGGCAAATATGTTCTCCCATGCAGTGGGCTTTCTTATTGTTTTGTTGATGGTTTCTTTTGCTGTTCAGAAGCTTTGTTTTTGATATAGTTCCATTTGTTTATTTTCTCCTTAGTCTCCATTGCGCTAGGAACTGTGTCGGTAAAGATATTGCTATGAGGGTGTTGGCGGCCCGAGCGGCTGCAGCTGCAGCGGTGGGGGAGGAGGCAGCGGGGCGGCGTGTAGCCGGGACTATGGAGGGGCAGAGCGGCCGCAGCAAGATCGTGGTGGTGGGGGACTCTGAGTGCGAGTGCGGCAACACGGCGTTGCTGCAGGTGTTCTCCAAGGACGCCTATCCCGGGAGTTATGTCCCCACCTTGTTTGAGAACTACACCGCCAGCTTTGAGATAGACAAGCGCTGCATTGAGCTCAACATGTGGGACACTTCAGGTTCCTCTTACTATGATAATGTCCGGCCCTTCACCTATCCTGAATCGGACACTGTGCTCATCTGCTTAGACATCAGCCGACCAGAAACACTGGACAGTGTCCTCAAGAAGTGGCAAGGGGAGACTCAGGAGTTTTGCCCCAATGCCAAGGTGGTGCTGGTTGGCTGTAAGCTGGACATGCGGACCGACCTGGCCACACTGAGGGAGCTGTCCAAGCAGAGGCTGATCCCTGTTACACATGAGCAGGGCACTGTGCTGGCCAAGCAGGTGGGGGCCATGTCCTACGTGGAGTGCTCCTCCCGGTCCTCTGAGCGCAGCGTCAGGGATGTCTTCCACGAGACCACAGTGGCCTCCCTTGGCTGTGGCCATAGGCAGCTGCGCCGTACTGACTCATGCCGGGTACTGCAGCGATCCACTCAGCTGGCAGGAAGGCCAGACGGGGGAATGGGAACGAAGGCGAGATACACAAGGATCGAGCCAAGAGTTGCAACCTCATGTGAGGAGCCGGGGAGGGGCAGAGCATCAGAAGGGATGGTGAAGGGCACAATTGTTCCCCTGCCTGCACCCTGGCTTCCTGACCCCCTGACTGGCTGGAACTTCAGGGCAGGTTGAGTGAACAATTCTCCTGGGCAAGGGACCTGGAGGCAGAGGGTACCATCATTCCCCACACTCTCACCCCCCGCCTCTCCATAGGAAGCTGAGGGTGCTAGCAGAGCAGGCATCTGGATCGGGAGCTGGGTCGGGGCAGGGGGTTTAGGGAAGCTGGCGAGCAGTGACCTTGGTTGACTCTCAGTATATGAAAAGTGCCATATAAGCATAACCAATGGACATAAGACACTGGGGGGTAGGGGAGGCCAGGGGATTTTCAAGGGCGGGGAAAAAAAAAGAAGGACACATATTTAATACCCTTTGTAATACTTTAAGCAATAAAAAAAAAAAAGAAAAAGGTTTCTGAAGATGGCGGCGATATAGGCAGACGCGTCCCAGGTCTTGTCCCGGAGCAAACGGAGTAAGCAGCTGAAACTAATAACACCCACCCCAAATTGGCAAATTTACTCAGCTGGTGAGACGGTTTGCAGCCGGGAAGGGCAGACCTCCCCTGGAAAGGTTAAAAACCAGGGATCTGGGCAGGAAAGTTTGCCAGACCTGAGCCCAGAGGGTCGGAGGGAGACCGCATGGCAGACAGCCGCGTCTCTTGGGACAGACACAGACCCTGACTGGGGTAAGGAGTTCCGCGGGTTTGCTGGCGCCAGGAGATTTGAGATTTGGATTTTGTGATTGCGGAGAACTGAGACTAAAGGGGGCATCCTGAGGAACTGACCAGACCATGCAGTGCCCATAAGAGAGGAGCGTTTCCCAGATCATGCAGTGCTGGTAAGAGAGGAGCGTTTCCCAGACCGGTAAGAGAGGAGCATTTCCCCGGCCGGCCTGCGTTTGTCTGTTTCTTTGTTTTCACTGAACCCTGCTCATAGGACAGTTCGGATACAGACACTCACCTGTGCTGAAGAGAGGGCGAAGGTGCAGACGAGGGGAATCTGGGGAGAGGCTGAGGAAAGAGGGGGAGCCGGAGGAGGTGGCAGCGAATTGAGTGCTGAGACACCCCTGGGCCCAGGACTGGGGCAGCCATTCCCTCCAGAGGGTGGAATTCCTCCCCCCAGCCCCCCAGGCAAGGAGCACAGCCACACCCAGATTCCACCCTCTATGAGATAAAGGATTAAAACAAGCTGATTAGTCCCTGGGAGTTACCAGGGTCTGGCCTATAGAGGGACTTTCAGTCCCACCAACAACACAGAGCAGGGTAAGGATTAAAAAAGGATAGAGAAGCTGTATAGCCTCAGAGGCCAACCCAAAAACACTGCCACCCAGAGGCTGAGCCACAAACTGACTCTTAGGGGAATACAAATTAAGGCAGACTGGATCACAAATACGGCCTGCTTTAAAATCAGGACTGTGATTTACAACACGGAGGAACAGTGTAATGCAGGGAAATTCAACACTCTCCTAAATACCTGGCAGGACTAACGCGAACCAGGCTGAAGAGTAGAAGAACCGAAAGACCATCACTACTGCAAATTTTTTCTTTTTCTTTTTTTTTTAATTTTTTCGCCTTTTTACTAAGAAACCAATTTTTTTTCTTTTTCTTCTTTTTCCATCACCTGATTTTACCCTTTCAATTACCACATTTTTATTTTTAACCAGTATTATTACTGCTACCATTTTACCATTTTTTTTCATATTTTGAATAAAGTTTTATTTCATTATTTTAATGCTTCATAATGTAATTCTATATATAACTTTAGTAAAATTTAGCACAAAAGCTACATAAACCTTTATTTAAGTTTATATACTATGGTATTTTTCCTAGAAGCAATGAAACAAATACATTTTCAGAGAGATAAAGACAACAATCCATGATATCTAAATAGAAAACTGATATTGTTACTCTCTTTCCCTGGTGTGAAACCAGACTGAGATGAAGGATAAGCAGATATGATTATGACTATGAGTTATGATCAGTGCAATGATGTAGTGTTTTAATCTGCTCAGTAACCAGGTACATCATTCATCTATCAGTTCTGGCAGCAATTCTTAAAATAAAAGAGAAACAGAGGAAGCATTGAAAGACAAAATAGAGATTATTCCTAGTTAGTCTAAAGGCCCATAGCAGAATGTATCTAAACAGTAAGGCTAATCTTCCTTGTATTTATAAAGTTATAATCCAACAGTTATGATTGATTAAAAATGTATCTTTCACTCTAATAAATCTAGTTTCTCTTTTGAGGATTTTATGTCAAAGTTTTACATAAATGGATAGATTACCTATTTTCATGTTGTCTTTTAGAAGTTACAATAGAAGGATACTGAAAATGAAGAATCTGTATACACAGTGTAATAAAGTTTAGGGGAAAGGCAACTGTTTCTTCCTGCTGACTAAACTTTAAATGGTCAATCTGCTCAGATATCAAGCAGTGCACATTTTATTTTATTTATTTTTCTATGTCCCTGATTCTATTATAATCACCAGTTCATTCTGTACATCAGGTTATTTATTCACTTGATTCTTAGATTCATTTGTTGATAGACGCATATTTGTTGTTCATAATTTGTATCTTTACCTTTTTCTTCTTCCTCTTCTTAAAGGATACCTTTCAGCATTTCATATAATACTGGTTTGGTGGTGATGAACTCCTTTAGCTTTTCCTTATCTGTGAAGCTCTTTATCTGACCTTCAATTCTGAATGATAGCTTTGCTGGATAAAGTAATCTTGGTTGTAGGTTCTTGCTATTCATCACTTTGAATATTTCTTGCCACTCCCTTCTGGCCTGCAAAGTTTCTGTTGAGAAATCAGC